AGAACAATTATAGTGCACTGTAGTACAGGGGGCACGCGGGAGAGAGGAGGACCCAGAGCCAGCCAGGCAGGCTTCAGAGAGGAAGTGGCCACTGAGTGGAGACTAGAGGACAGCAGGGTTTGCCAGGCTGAAGTGTGTGTGTTGGGGAGTCCTGGGTCGGGGAGCCTTGCTGGGATAGCAGGAATTCCCGATAGATTTTCTTGTGCAAAGGTAAAGAAACTGAAAAAGTCCAGGATCCTGACTTAAAACATCAGATAATCCTCCATCACGTTGTCAAGTAGGACTGGGGCTTATTGTGGGTAGGAAATGAGCTGTCAACATGGCAGGGGCTAAAACATGCACAGGCCTGAAAATGCAGCTATAGGCTATTTAGATTTTTGTCCTGGGAGGAAGGAGGGCAGTGGAAGAAGTCTCATCAGGGATCAAGTCCCTCTGGCAGCTCTGTGGAAAATAGATGGAGACTGGAGCGGTAGAAAGCAGCTGTAGTTACCATTTCAGATGTGGCTGTAATACTCTGGCCCCTTAAGGCAGCTGGGTCTGCCCAGGAGCTCTGCTCCCTGGCTTCCGGGCATGGATTCATTCCGGTGGGAGCTGTTGCCCGCTATTGCTTGCTTCTGCAACCTGCAGGTCATTTTTATATTGTTTCTGGAGGTTTGGACCTCAACCTTGTCATCAGGGATGCACCCCAGAGGATTGTGAAGGGTACCTCTGCCCCCCTTTTCTTATCTTCTGGTCATCCCCTCTCCCTCGGCTCCCCAATCTGTCTCACAGAGACGCTGCCTCAGATGTTAGAGGCTGCATGAAGAGCAAAGTCTTGCTGGGGAGTCAGGCCAGAAAGTCACTTTAGCTGTGTGCCTTGGGGACAGTATCGACCTTTCTGAACCTCATTTTTCTGATTTAAAAGGAAGTCATCATACCTACTTGTCATAGGTCGGGTTCCCTGGAAAAGACTCAGACGCTCTGAGATTTGTGTGTGGGAGGCTTCGTGGGCATGGTCTCGCTCTCCGAGGCGGGGGAGGGAGGCAGGACTGGGCAGAGAGAGAAGTTGATGTTGATGTAGCGCAAGAGTGGCCTCGGTTGATCCCCTGAGGCAGGGGGCCTTTGAAACCCTGTGTGGACCAGCCAGTGGGTGCAGGCTGTCCCCAGGGAGGGGGCATAACTTTGGGTGTCCCTCCAGCAGGACAGCTCCTGAAGAGGAGCTCAGCCGTGAGCGGGGAGCAGCCAACACGCCTGGCAGCTGGGCCTGGGGGAGGAAGGAGTGCCTTGGTCCTGGAGGGGCACTGAGAGCTGTCCCGCAGCAGCCAGCTCAGAGGATGAGCTTAGGAAGTAAATGAGAAGACTGACAGAGTGCTTTGCCCTGTGCCCAGTGCAGAGCAGGCATTTAAAAAGTGTTCGTTTTTCTTGCCTTTAAACTTCTTCAGTACGTCTGAAAATGAATTTTGGAGATTGAATTGAGAAAGTCAGCTTTTGTGAGGAAAGAACCTTTAATTTATCATCACCTTTTAATAATAACAGGCACAATGACTACTACTTCCTGTTACTGAGTGCCTCTTATGGACGTGCATTCTCTCTTAGTTATCCAGTAATAATCCAGGGTACTTGTATTCTCATTTTACAGTCAATCCAGTCTTTTCCAAATCCCAACAGACCAGGTGTCCTTTGGCCGTAAAATAATAACAATGACAGCAAGAACAATCACAACTATATGACTTGTTACACTCTATGAAGTGATTTCATTGGTGGCTCGATTAATTAATTAATCAATTATTAATTCAAGAATGTGCAGTGAGTGAGTGCCTCCCGAATGGTGGGTGCCGTCCTACGTGCTGGGGATACAGTTCAGTCTGTTAGGGGAGACTGAGAGAGACATTAAATGCTTTGATTCTTCAGAAGCAAGCACTGAAGGATGGAACGTGGCAGTGCATAGCCGGGATGCGGTAGAGAGTCATAAGCCTTTTTCCCAGTTGACTCCTTCCAATCCTTCAGTCTCAATATAACCTCCTCAGAATGGCCTTTTGGACCATCCTGTGTACCCCTCCCTTGTATCCCCCTTCATGCGTCCGTTCATCCATTTTATTTACTCCCATGTTGTTGGCGCTCTCCACTAGACTGAAGGCTCCGGGAGATCATAAGTTGGTTTGTCCTAAGAGCCGAGCACAGTGGTTAGCATATTTCTTGAATTAGTAAAATGAATGAAGGGTGGAATCTACATAACGGAGTAGCCAGGGAAGGTCACTCCCAAGAGTGACGTTTACACTGAGATCTGAGGGATAAGAACAATCCAGCAATACCAAGATCAAGAGGCAAAGAGAGCAGCTTGTTCAAGGACCCTAAGGTGGAGGAATGGAGCCCGGCGTGATTGGGGAGCAGCCTGAGGTGAGTTTGGAGAAGTAGATGGGGCCTTGGAAGGCCATACTGAGCTTGGATTTTACTCAAAGTGCAATGAAAAGTCACTGAAGGATTTTAAGCCTAGTAATGACTTGATGTTATCGTATGTATTTGTTTGTTGTGTGTCATGCCTCCAGGAGGCAAACTCCATGAAGGAAAGTGCTTGTAAGTATTGCTGAAGAGCATGGATGATAGTTTATGCGACTATCAGGTGAAAAATGGAGAAGAGAGGAGAATGGGATCCTGTCACTAATTAGGAGTTGGGTGAGAGAGATGTTTATGTCTTGGCTACAGGATAGCAATGGTGTTGGAGAAATGTAGAAGGATTGGAGATATATTTGGGATATAAATGGACAGGACTTGCTGATACATCATATGTCAGGAATATGGGAAAGGAAAGGATCAAGGATGACCCTTGGGCTTATGGTTTAAGACTGGAGGGGTGCCAAATGTCCATTGACAGGTGAATGGATCGACAAAATGTGGTGTATACTTCCAGGGGAATAGCACTCAGCCCTAAAGAGGAATGAAGTGCTGATACATGTTACTACACGGATGGGTCTTGAGAACGTGCCAAATGAAAGAAGCCAGACACAAATGGTCGCATATTGTATGATTCAATTTATATGAACTATCCAGAATAGGTAAATCCACAGAGACAGGAAGAAGATTGGTATTTGCCAGGGGCTTAGCCCGGGGGGGGGGGGGGGGCGTGGGTGGAGATGCGGTATGGCTGTTTAAAGGGTAAATGGTGTCCTCTGGGGGTGATGAAAATGTTTTGGAACTGGATAGAGGTGTTGGTTGCACAACATTATGAATGTACCAAATGCCGCTGAATTATACACTTTAAAATGCTTAATTTTATGTTATATGAATTTCACCTCACCTAAAAACAAAGATTGGGTGGATGGGGGCGCCAACCACAGAGTGGAGGAGACTGGGTGAGGAGCAGGTTGTGGTTAGAGAGAAAATTCAAATGCTGTCATGGAGATGCCCGTTAGACATCCTCATGGAGACCAGGGGGGATGTCTGGGCTGGAGATAGAAATATGGGAGTTGTCAGCACTTAGATGTCAGCCAACAAAATGGAGGAGATCTAAGGAGAGAGTGTAGAAGAGCACACTGGAGCCTGGATCATTCTTTAATTTGATCCTCATGACTACCTACGAGGAAGGTGCTGTTGTCCTCATTTTCAACTGAGGAAACCAAGGCTCCCCACCAATGCACTTGGCCAAAGTCAGACAATTTGTTCATGTGGATCTCCTGGCTGCCAGCCCTTTGCTTTTCCCATCTCAGCGTGATGCCATTTAGAACTTCAGCAAAGCCTTTCCCTCCGTCTCTCCCTCCCTCCCTCCTTCCGTTTCTTATTTCCACAGTCCTGGTTGAGTTCTCACATGTGGCAGGCACTGTGCTGGGCATGTGTTTGTGGAGAATGTAGAAATGGCTCTGATCTTGTGGAATTTACCTAATAAATAAGCAGCTACAGCCCGCTGACACAAGGGCCGTAGGAGCCTGGCGCAGGGACATCTATTGCAGGTTTGAGGGTGGGAGGAGGCTTCTTAGAGAAAAGTGACAGCTAAGCTGAGATTTGCAGCAGAAGCGGAAGGATTGAGCCTAAGAAAGAGAATGATTCTCTGGAGGGTTCATGATCTCTGAATACCTGCTGTGGGAATTCACCATTCTCTTCCTTCCCCAGTTCTGCAAGGTTAGTGGCATTTTCCAGCTCATCAAGAGGGCCTTTTTTGTTTTCTATGATCCTGGAGGCAATAAGTAGACAAATAGCTTGGCTTGTTGTCAAGTGGGAGCTTCAAAGGAATAGCAAGGTAGGGTGCAAACAGCCTGGCTTTCAAAGCCGGGTTCCATCTCTTGATCAAGCGACTTATTCTGTCTGAACTTTACTTTTGATACCTGTGAAATGGAGCCACCAACGTCCACTGCTCAGTGTAGGAAATAAAAGAGATGTGTAGTAAAGTCTTGGGGACGGAATAAATGCTCAGAAAAATGTTATCTCATTTATCTTGTGGAGAGGAAGAGTTTCTGAATAGACCAATGGTCCCCGCACTCTGTACACTATTTAAAATACAGATATCCATGCTCCTTCTAGAGTCTGACTTAGATGGTTTGGGATGGAACGTAGCAATTTGTCTGTTTAGAAAACACCCCAGATGATCCTGATAAAAGCAAGGTCCAGACACCCCTGGTTGAGACCAAATACTTGAGTCATGGCTGTGACGACGTGAAAGGGTTAAGCAGCTAGAAGCAGAATGTTGCCTTCTAGGAATTATTAGCCAATGACGGAGCTGACCGATGATGTAATGTCTTTGGCTGGCACTCCATTGGTTAAGTGTATTGTTTCTCTTGCTTCAGCTGTGTGAGCAGCAGACTGGCGCCCATGGGTTAATAATTCTGTGGCAGCAGATAGAGCTGTTTTTTTTCATTCCTCTTCTGCTAGGTGTGAATGTACAGCAGGGCTCAGCAGATTGTTGCCCTTCCCTTTCCAATAAGCAGCTGCCCCTTCCTCCTTACCTCCTTCTAAGCAGAGCACATGTCTCCGTAGTACTACGGAGGAGGAGGGGGAGGAGAAGAGGGAGAGGGGGAGGGTGGAGGGGGAAGAGGAGGAGGAGAGGAGGGTCCTTTGGGGAAGAGAGAGCCCTTGCAAAGTTCCCCGCTGCAGTCTCTCCTTGCCACTGGGGACAGGCACAGCCCCAGCTGCTCTGGCCTGCAGAGGTCCCACCGGATGAATTGCTAAACCGCCACCTGCTTCTGAGCATTGTTCAACTTGGCGGGATCCTCAGAACCGGGAGGTGAGCCCAGGGTTTTGGAAGAGGGAGTGGGCTTGGCAGAGAGGAGCCCTGGGGCAGTGGGAGGGAGCAGCTCTGGACTGAAGGTCAGCCGCAGTCTCCATCGTGTGGCTGCCCCAGCATGCTGTGTGAGCTTGGGCACGATGGTCTCCCTCTCTGAGTCTGTTTGCTCCAGTGCACAATATAAGGCTTGAATTAGGGCCCTCCGAGTTCTGGGAGACACTGACTGGGAGTGCGCTGACCAGGAGCCATAAACCAGCATGCTCTCCGTGTAGCTTTCTGTCAAGATGCCTCACTCTGGGAATCTTGGGCAGCAGGGGAGCATGGTTAGGGCTGTCTGCCTGGAGCCAGCTGTAACCCAGGCCCTCCTTATAATGTCTGACTCCCTCTGCAGTGCTCTCGCTCAGCCAAGTGGCCCTTGGTAGACTCTGGGGTGAGCTTTCTCCAGAAACACCTGAATGATCTCAGAGATCTTGATCATGTCACCTGGGGGGACTTTTGCGTCCCTGACCTTTGAGTTATCGGTGCGCCTTAATAAATCTGGGCACTTTCCTGGTTGTCCCATACTGGAGCTCTTGTCGGGGGAGAGGGGAATTCTTTTTGTATTATGGATAGCACAGTTATGATGATTTTCTCGTTTGTGTTTAATGGAGTATGGATTATTGCCCCAGCCCGAGACTTCTCACCTTGCCCAGAGAGGATCCAGTGCAAGCACGTCTGCTTCAAGGTGTAAATTGAAAAAGAGCAGAGTGGGGAGGGGGAGGGGCGCAGAGGAACTGGGAGAGGCCGCTAGCCAGAAGCTCTGCCTTCCTCGCAGAGGTAATTCAAGGAAACCTTGCATTTCATAGTCAGACTATGATGCCACTTCTCCCTTGCAACCCTCCGAAAAATACATGAATAAAAAGTTCTGTTATTTTTGTGTGTCAGAATTTGGTTATGAGCGGAGAGTTCTCAGTTTCTTTGGGGAAGGTGGAGCTTGCAGAGGGTTCTCTCTGTGTCTGTATGACCCTTGGCGTCTGCCGCTCTGTGTTCTGGGTCAGGCTTTGCTGCTGAAGAACATGTAGGTCCCTGAGAGGGTCACTGTGTGTCCCTGAGCCTCAGTTCCCTCATTTGTCAATCACAGAGGTAGGAGGGAGCTGGACTAGCTGAATTTAGAGCCCCTCTGGCTCTGTCTGTCTGTGCTTTGGGTTGTGGAAAGCCATTGGAATCTGAGTCTGTCAATTAAGTGGGTTGGATGGAAACGTGTTTGAATAAAGGGACGTGCAGCCTGTGTCGTCTGGGTGCTCGAGCTTTACACATGTTTTAATTCATGTCACCCTCCCAGTAGCCCTGAGATTAGGTGGAATGAACCCCACCCAACAGATGTGAAATTCAAGGCTGAAGGAGCTTCCGTGACTTACCCAAGTTCATCACTTTGTACCTGTTGAGACTGGTATTTAAAGCTGTGCAGGCGAAGGTACTGGGGTGGCAGAACGTGGCAGGAGAATGGAAGGGATGAAGCTGGAATCCTTGTCTGCCTTTGCTTCCTGGCGTGCTCTTCTTTCTACTAGAAAGCACGCACTGGTTTTGGGATCGACTAGTTCAGCCAGATTATTGTGGATTACCCAGTTTACTGTCTGGGACAGTAGAAAATCAGGGGACTCTGGGTCCAAAAGGGACCTTACAATCCTTTGGACCAGGCCTCTCAGTTTATAACTGAGGAAATGGAGGTCCAGAGAGGTGAGGTGACTGGTTCCATGTCACTCAGTGAGTCGATAGACAGCAAGAGATGGACACCAAGCCTCGTTGTCCTAGGTGTTTGAAGTTGTGTTGATGAGTTTTTCTTTAAACTTTCATTTGAGAACTTTGAGATCATTTGAATTTAGCTATTCTTACCTCCAGGCCTTTCTGAAGTGCCAGAGGGTTGGAGTAAGACTCTTTGAACCCCTACTCTGTGCTTGGCATTGTGGCAGGTGTCTGAGACGTGAAAGGGGGTGGTAAGTAAGCCGAGTGTGAGACTTGGCCAGTTTCCCTGAGGCGTCTCAGGATGCAAGCCGTGCCTCATGAGGGCCTAGCTCATAGGTGACCAGTGTTTCCCAGTGGATGGGCTGAGACCCTGACCATTCTCTCTGCACGTGGCTGGCCCCTAATTTATACCACTGTAAGAACACTTGCCACATGACCTGTGGTCTCTGTTCTGTCTTCCCAACTAAGCTGCATGTTTCTAGGGCACAGCTCACAAAATGTGGAGCTTAATTAATCGGTGGAGCTGCCTTCTAGGAGAGGTGGGTGTCAATATTTTGGATGTGCAGAGATGTACACCCAGAAGTAAAAACCATCAAATATTTATTAAAAAGCACAGTTCAGATGCTTGACTCTTTTCTTGATCACTATAATGTTAAGAAAGAATCATCCTAATGTCAGGCTTCAAATATTCAAATGATTATTCTAAGAAAGAGGGATTATAATTATTCTGCAGGGCTGGAGAGCAAAGCCAGCAGCATTGGGTAGAAGTCGGAGGGGAGCAGATAGCAGATAGATGGAGGGTGTGCGGATGGTGGGAGCTGTCCAGTGGGTAAGACTTCCCTTTCTATGCCCCTGTCATCAGAAGTGGGTGGTAACCCTCAGGGTTGGCTGCTCTGCCAAAGGTACCTTCTAACTTCCCTTCGAGATCTAAGATTTCTTGGTTATCTATCAAGCAGGAGGAAGTGAGAGGAGGCCTGGGGGATCATAAGCTGCATCTCACTCCTTCTTTAGATTCCAAAGCTGTAGTATGGGGTGAAAAATCACTCATAGCCAAAAATACTCTTGAAAACATTTTAATTGCCAAAAAATTGCATTATACATGGTTTTTGTGAATGCAACCCTGAACATCTATCCTAACTAGTGTGAGAAATGCTGGTTTAGACTAAAAGAGAGAGTTAGCAAGAGAAATTCTATATGAGTTGTCTGGGTCTTCCTACTGTCCTGTCTTTAAGGTCACCGTACAATTTCTAACTGGCATGGAGTGAGGGGCTAGAGAATTCTCAGGCAGTCTTGCCTGCTTGTGGGGTTGATGCCGTTCTGCTTGGATAAACAGCCTCTAATACGTTCGTCCATGGTAACTGTTTTTTTTAATGGGAATGAAAATTAAATGAGATAGAATCAGCAGCTTGCTTTAGCCGACTTGTCTAGGCTGGTCTGTGAAAAATTTTAGATAAGAACCAGTCACCTGTGTCCAGGTGGGCACGTCCTGTTTGAGGTTGGCGTGTCCTGTTCCACTCCTCTGGACAGTGCTCACCCTGGGGCCCCTGACTGTTGCTTCTGAAAGCCCAAGTGGGACGTGAATGAGGTTGGAAGCTGCACAGACCTGAGTTAAAACACCAGGCATTACCTCTCCTTGTGTGACACTGGGCATGTTACTTAACCTCTCTGTTTGGTTTTTTCGCTTATGAAAATGGGATCAATAGAACCCGCCTTGAGGGGCGGATGGAGGATTAAATGCGAATCTTTCGAGAGCGCCTGGAACATACAGAGTAGGTGTCTATAAATGCTAATTTATTCCTTCTCCTTAAAAGGTGTTGCAGAGAGGTGGGGGTTTTTCTTTCTTCAATCTCACCTCAAACTTCTTTGCCCACATTAGTGGCATTCTAGGTGGCTCTCTCCCAGCCCTCAGGAAACCTCACGTGGTGTTGCTCTAAGAATGCATGCTTGCAGCCTTGCCCCCTCCTAGCTCGTCCTCAGGCCACTTACTTAACCAGGCACCAGAAAGCTGTGCTCAGAAGGGAGATGTTGAACTTAATCCATTTTTATTTATTTATTTATTTTTTTGAGGAAGATTAGTCCTGAGCTAACATCTGCTGCCAATCCTCCTCCTTTTTTCTGAGGAAGACTGGCCCTGAGCTAACATCCGTGCTCATCTTCCTCTACGTTATATGTGGGACGCCTACCACAGCATGGCTTTTTTGCCAAGCGGTGCCATGTCCGCACCCGGGATCCGACCCAGCAAACCCTAGGCCGCCAGAGAGGAACGTGTGAACTTAACTGCTGCGCCACTGGGCCGGTCCCCTTAATCCATTTTTAAAACACCAGGAGCTGAATCAAATATCTGGGCTGGGGCTGCTTTACTCAGGGGCCACCCGGATAGGTGCTTTGAGGGGTGGCAAAGTATGGCTCCGAGTTCGAAGCATTGGGAGTTTCATCATTGAATGTTCATCTCTTAGGTTTACTCATTCATCCAGTTAACAAATATTTACGGGAGTTCTTATCTTGTGACAGGCAGTGTCCGAGGTGCAGGGGACATATCCATGAACAGAGCAGACAGGATCCCTCTCCTGGTGGATCCTATATTCTGGTGGGGAAATAGAAAGTAACCTTAAGACAGATACATTGTGTGGGGTCAGTTAGTGATGAGAGCCATGACGAAAAATGAAGCAGTGGAAGGGCACAGGAAGATGCCTTTATAGCAAAGCCAGCTAAAGAAGGTTGCTCTGAGGATCTGATATTGCAACGTAGGCTTGAATGAGGTTTGGGAATGGGTTTGAGAAATAGCTATGGAAGAGAATTCCAAACAGAGGGAACAGCGAGTGAGCCTCAGGGTAGGTAGAGAGGACCGAGGGAGAGTTTGAGAAGATGTGACCAGAGAGGTACTGAAACCAGGTCTGGTGGGGACTCCTGGGCTGTGGAGTGAAGTTTGGACTCTCTTCCAAGCTGGAGGTTTTGAGCAATGAATTTACGTGGTTTTACTTATTCTTTTAACTCATTTTACTTTTTAGATCGCCATACGGTAAATTTGTTTTGGTGTTCAGTTCTATGACTTTTAACATGTGTATAGATTCGTGGAACTACCAACACCACAATGAGGATGCAGAATGGTTCCATCATCCAAAAACCTCCTCTCCCTTTTTGGCCACTGGCTCCCCACTTCTGACATTTGGCGACTACAGCTCTGCTCTCCGTCACTACCGCTTTATCTTTATGAGAATGTCGTGTGGATGGAATCGTACAGTATGTTACCTTTGAGGCTGGCTTCTTTCTCTCAGCCC